CGTTTTCTGCTAAAAGCATATGAAATTAAATTGATTTCTTAGTCTGTTAATATTTTGTGCTAAAACGAAATTTCTCGAACTGTTTTACTAATCTAATTATACATTATTCTTCACTATAAGGACTCATTAATTTAATCCTTTACATTATTGCTGCTATCAAGTCTCATATTTACATTAAGGAAATAAGGGGTACAGAACTCAAGACGGTAATTACCCAGGTGCGGAAAATTTCAAAATTTACAAAAGGAAATCCTGGAAAGTCGCGGAAACTTACGCCGGGTGACATTTTTTTTCCAGAAAAACGTACGTCATGATACAAAATGCAAGGAATCGTTGTTATATGTTACACCCTAGGTTCCGGAGATTCCATTGGTATGTTTTGTTACACACTTCCGTGGACCATTATATTCACTGTTGCTCTTGTACTCTCTATTTCAATAGTTTGGTGTTTGAAGACAAGTACTGATCAGAGTTTATTACAGAGTATTGGTTGAAAATACGAAAAAAGTACTTGAAAATGATTGAGAAATCTATTTAAAGGTGCCATCCATTTTCACCTTTTATTGCAAAGCCGTTAAACACTTAGTCTCATATTGTATCAAAATACATCCTTGAAAAATAGTTTTGGAACTACAAAAGTTCTTGATTTTCAGATTCAATAGGGGAAAGGACCTTGTAATAACACTAACAGTGTAGTGGCAGTAGCATTACCGATAATAGTGACAGAGTAGACAAAACACAATTATATGTAATAGTGCTGCTTGTCTGGTGAACGTAATAGTATCTACAATTAAGAAAATATGTCATTTGTGAATAGAAATTTGGTTTAACATCTGAAATCACAAAAAATAGTTACATTATAAGCAGGGCCGGATTATAACTTTTTGTGACCCCTAGGCTAATAAAATTATGGGGCCCCCTCAGAATATTTTATACTCGTGACATATTTTAGCGACATTTACATACTTGAAGTAAACTTATTGCAAATTCTTTAATTAAACTAGCATAGCTATCTAATGTTTGTCAATAAAAATGTTCTTTAAATACCACTATTTTACTATATTTCAACAAAACCGTGGTGAAAAAAAACAAGCCCCTCAAAGCTTGGGACCCTAGGCTGCAGCCTATACTAGCCCAGAGGATAATCCGGCCCTTATTATAAGCAGTCAAACTTCACTTCAGTTACAGGTACTCAGTTTTTGGATTTCGAAAGCCAAGAAGCAGCAAGTTTTCATCCTTTTAGATTTTTTCTCCTTCTCAGGAGTTTTCAAAAGTTCAGGAATACTTCTTGTGGATTGATATTCAACCACTCAGCCTGTGTCATCCTCCTCTGAACATCGGTAAACCGAGTCAGAACGGTCATCAAATCTCTCAAGCAAAACACTTGAGAGCAGCTTCCCGCTCAGAGGATTACACTAACAGTCCTCATCGTGGTTGAATATATTCCGAGAATCTCGGCGAGAAACCCGGCAATCGCACTATAGAAGTGATCCTATAAAGTATGATCATACTTTCACCTTCTAATTTCACTCTCAGGCCACATTTTACTGAGGACTTTGTTCTACTACATAGGATTTTCGTGTGTTCATATGTTGGTATATGTATGGTGCAATATGTGGACATGGTTTTCCCATTTTATGGTATCTGCCTACTCTACACCTATTTTATCAAATGTTATAAAGTAAAACACAGAGGGAAACATGAGATATATACTATACATAGTTTCAAACAAGACATTTATACATATCAAATAACGTGGCACAGGGACTAAACTATATGAACAATAAATGAACATTTCTTCAGAACCTATTTCAATGCATCTCTAATAAAATTCAAGGTGCTTATTTCCAGGTACTATAACATAATAAGATATGGGAATCAAAAGGTTCACGTATCTCTAAACTATCATTTCGGTGGTTAATGATTTAAAAGACCAACATTCCTCTTCATATGCGAGGTTTCAATTCCAATTGTTAAATTAAGTTACATTCAAACTACCTGGTCTACATACTTGGTTAACGTAAATATCATATCTAAACACTAGCTTTTGTGCGTGCTAATCCTTAATAAATAAAATAACAATAGTGCTTATTTCACGATATGTCTTTCTTGCACTTATACTCATCGCTCTATGAGTCCTCAGTCTACCGTTGTTGGTCAATTCGCTTACCTTTCAATTGTAACTCTGGTTTCCCTTCAAAACGCATAAATCTTTCGCCTTTTACTAAAGATTTCCGTGGAGGGGAACAACTCAATGAGTCTTACTCAATTTTTTCTATAGCCCACTTCGGTGGGTTCATATTAAACATATGCACAATAATCATACAATAGTTAACTTCAAACTGGTTTTGTAGTAAGGAGAAAGTCGAAGATATTTAATCTACTCTTTTGAGTTAGACCACATAAGATTCCACCCTCTTTTATCATTAGCTAAAACAATTTTCTTTTTCAATTATGTTAGTTGTACATTGATTGCCATTTAAAAAACACTGACATTCGGTGTTCGGAGTTAAATAATTTAAAATGACTATAATTTTACACTGTTCTAATCGAAGCTTACTTCTTAATTTTCATTTACTTGGTGGTGAAAGAGGTTATTCTTTAAAGGTTACCTCAGGTGTTGTTTCCAAATTATTTTCTGTATAAATAAACCACGCCATATACTTCGCAACTTTTTAAGTTACTCAATCAAATCAGAAAATCGCACTTTTAAGCCAGTACAGTTTCCCAGAATAGTAGACGAACTGTCTAACTCTTAGAATAACAATATTTACGCTGGCCGCCGTTAGGGAATGGTGGTGACGTAGATTGTGCTGTATAGTTTCATTCATTCAACACGCTAGCGAAGAGTTACAGCAGCGATTAATTTGAGGAAATAGAAGCACTTCTGTGTCAAACCGAAAGCGGGAAGGAGCGGGGGGAGGAGAGGCAGATAAACACAGAGAAAACTGAGAAACTGAGATTATACAGTATATATCAACGGTGCACACTGGCACTTTGGAAGACTTGTGTATTACGAGATGCAATAAGGGGGATAGCGCGAACGCAGTCCCCCGCTACCAAAAATTGCGCACTCGAGTTAACCACATTTGGGTTAATCGCAGGGGTCAGCGCCACCGGAGTGCAATGGTGAGCCTCGCCCTGGGAGAACCGCCTTCGTGATCACGGTATCTCCTGTGCCAGGTAAGTATGCTCTTCTAACCCACGCGCCGACCCACGCTCGCCCATACTGACAACCCCACGCGCACTACAATACTTTATACAAATATACAAGTTTGACTTTTCTTTTACGAATAAACCCCTAATGACTGACGCTAATATTTACATTTCAAAACTGTAGTAAGGAACAGAAAGGTCACTTGATTATCCTTATATCGTAAATTAAAGTGTATAAGCTTTTTCCACCTGTACTTGTTTCTCTACTTTTATCATCTTGACATTGACATGCAATCTTCGTAGGTTGGTAGACATACGAGAATCCATACACATACACATATTCATCTAACCCATCATAGAGCCATAATTACAGATGGATGCACGTGTACGGAAATATTCGTATAAATGTAATATTCACATGGTATAAATGCACACTGGACTATACATTCTTCAAATCTTGGCTATATTATGGTAATTTAATATCATGTGAAAATTATGGTCAGAGTTCGCAAAACCATATATATATATATATATATATATATATATATATATATATATATAGTTTATATATAATCTATATATAAAATCGAAAGAAAATGAAATTTTCCGGGTATACTTCATTAAAAACATTCTATGACCGTTTACTAATATGTAAATATATATAAGCACATACATATTCTTATATATTCATATACAAAATATATAAGCAAGTGTTAGTGTGTCAATATGCACCCGTACGTTTTTGCGTGTACGTATGCAAGGACATGCGTGAATGTTTGTACGTGTACGTGCGCGCGGACGCGTGGGTGTTTGGGTGTGGAGGTATATAAGCATCTATATATAAATAGACTTTGGACATATATGTGTATGCAGGGGTGTGTTTGTGGGTGTAAAAGTGTGGCCGTGCGTGAATGAACTTGTGCATGCGCGTGCGTATGCTTAAGAGGCTTTGTGACATTTGGTCAAGTAGCTAAGAGTGTTTGCCCACATGTACTTTCCTTGGAATCCGATGAAATTATCCTAGCAACAGTTTTGGGGATTTTCATATTGGAAACATTCTCGTATGTCAATCAAGATTTAAATAATTTCTAACGTCGTGTCGTTTACGCCCTTCTATCTATAAAGAACTTCACTAGCAAGTCCTCAGAAATAGTTTCTCGGAGACACTTTCAACCATGTTTCAGTATCGCTTCTCGGCCTTTTGGCTAAGATCAAAGTGTAGTATCTGTTCTTATCAGCTTAATATCTGATACGATCCCCATGTGGGATCTACGATATTAAACTGATTTTTGGAAAATGGCGAAGTGCTAGGGGCTTGCTCCACCTTTGCCGCGGATCGGCCCGGTATTGCAGTACCTCCGGGATTGGTCCACTCCCTCCAGGGAGGATATCAACCAATTATTCTAATTTATATACAGTTACAATGTTTGACCGTAGCTCCTCTCATACCATTTATTAGACCAGCTTCTGGTACCGCTGCTACCAGTTTACATAATTACATAAAGTAACAAAGGGGGTACAAGAACTCGCGGTAGTTACTACCAATTGCAAGAGTAATAATTTTACTCAGTAGTAATGCTAAGGATGATGCCACCAATAGTTGACTGTGCATTAATGATTATATCTGTTTTTATTTGTAATACTAATCACAAAAGTACTTACATTTGGGAACAAATTAGTTACTTATTTTAAATCTGGTTTAAAAACTCGAAACGATGAAAATAACTGCATTAATAAAATGTATTGACACTTCAATATACTGGCAACGCCTTGAAATTGTAATTTTTGTTCCCCTTATCAGGAGTTTCCAAAAGTTTAAGATACTTCTTATGGATTAAAATTTATCTATTCAGCCTGTGTGATCCTCCTCTTAGCATCGGTAAACCGAGTCAGAACGGTCATCAAAACTCTCAAGCACAAAGCTTGAGAGCCGCTTCCCGTTTAGAGAATCACACTAACAATCCTTATCATAGTTGAATATAGTCCGAGAATCTCGGCGAGAAACCCGGCAATAGCACTATAGAAGTGATCCTATAAAGTATGACCATCCTGACAAAATCAAATTCCACTCTCACCCTATATCTTACTGAGAATTTTGCTCTATTACCCCAGATTTACTCGTTTTCATGTTGGTATATGTATGCTGTAATAAGTGGATGTAGTTTGCCATATTTGAAATACTTGTATACTCTACACTTCTATGGTTAAATAATATACGCCAAACTTTAAAGGAGAACATCATGTTTATCCTGTACATGATAAAAATAGGTATCAGAGCTTACTGAAATAAGGAATAACCTATAGGTACTATGAATATACGTCTGCAATGAACTTATTCTAATGTGTTTCCAATGATATTCAAGTTGTCTACGTCTAGGAACTGTAAGATAATTGAATTGATAATGTTGGATTACATTAATGAACATTCCTCATGTGAGATGTTTCAATTTCAATTGCTAAATTCAGTTACGCTAAAAAAATGGATATACTTGGTTAATATAAGCGTCATGGCTATACATTTGTTTTAGAGCATGCTGATCATTATCAAAGTAACATTAACATTATTTCCAGATAAACTCTTTTTGCCCTTATACTCTTTACTGTAGAAGTACTCCGAATAGCTTTCTTGGCCATTCAGTCACCATTTGCGGGCATCCTTTCTTGTTTCAGGAACAAGGATCCAAGGTTTTTGGTTAAGGAATCAAGAATGTACGCCCACTGCCGTAAAGCTGTATATAGATATAAAAGTTAAGGTTGCAGTATGCAACGCCACATGGTAATTACGATGAATACTTCTAAGCTGGTGTGGGTATTTATGGCGAACTTCTCTAAACTGGTCAGGGCAATTACGCCAAGCGTCTCGAAGCTGGGGTATTCTACTACCTCAACGCCAAACCACAGACTGCTCTTTAACCAAAGAGCAATTTTGCAGATAATTTTTCGCTTTTTGATATTTTCTTTTTTCTTTACTTTTATTTTTCTTTTTATATACAGGCCAATCCCTCACTAATGAAGGTGAACCCCGAGGGCAGTGCCACGAGGGGGGTCCATAGATAAGGACTGCCTTAAGCTGGTGAAGGGCTTTGTTATTTTTGGGGAATCTGCTTGTCAGTAGGTTACAAACCTGGAAATAGGTAGGAAGTCCAAAATCAAGAGGAAAACGTCACCTCAACGTCAGACTTGGGCTCATACCATGAGTCTAGAGAAAAGACCTCAAATTCTCTGAAAAAGATGTGTGGGAAATCTAACCCAACACCCCATAAATTAGAAGTTAGTGAAATCTCTGACCCATCACCCAGTGAATTTGGAGTCAGGGAGAATTCTGACCTACTTCTGGATGACTTTCAAGCACCAGCTTCCAACATAATTTAGAATTTACTTCTGATGAAGATAACGGCATTGAAGAAAATGCCACCAGTACAGAAAAAGACAACACTGGCTTGAATTTTTCAAACTTTGGGAAGATGAAGTTCTCACTGAAGCCCAATGCTCAATTCAAATCTGCATATAATGTCCTGGTCACATTAGAAGATTATCCTCAATTGGCTGTTGCCACCAAAGTTTCACTTGATATCTCATTTCTACTAACTCACAAAAATGAACACACCCTTAGGTATCTGGTCTTCACTGTCACTCTCCATTCTAAGGACATCAACCTCAAGTACCTAGATCAAGAAGACATTACAAGGAAGGTCATTTAGGTAGGTTATGCCATAGAATTTCTATTGGATGCATCAAAAAGCTACTATACATAGTCTCTGCTATAAGATGTGTATCCCACAAAATAAAGCTAGAAACAAGGCAGTGACTGTACGAGTCTGTACCCTCAGATGTTCTACACCCTGAGAAAATTAAACTTGGAAAGTTTTCAAACCAGTGAATATGTAAAACAGCCTCTCCAATGTTTTTAATGTCAGAGATTTGGTCACCATCAAAGTCAATGCTGTGCCCCAACATATTGCGCAATCTGTTCCAAATTAAGGCATGAAATGGAGGCATGTATGAAGAACCTTAAGGAAGGGGCCCAAGTTCAACCAAAATGTCCAAATTGCCAGAAGAAACATTATGCCTAGAATTTGAAGTGCTCACAGAGGCTAACCAGGATCAGGAGGATCCAACAAGTTCCTATTGCCCAAGTACAGACTCATACAATCATGGAAAGCAAGTGTCCTGACATTGAAATCCTAAACGAATGGCCAAGCTTACCCACTGCTGTACCTAAAAGAGCATCACGGCCTCATCCGATCAACCACCAATAAACAAAGCTACAAGGGTGCCTCCTGCCAAACAGGCATCACAAGCTGTCTCAGGGAAAGACTCCTTATATCAATCCCTTCCATTTTTCCATCCGATGGAATCTATAGTACAATACATGCAAGCTCTCTCAGTCACTCTAGGAAATCCAATTGCAAAAGCCAATGAAATGCTAACACACCTAGTTAAAATTAGTCCAGAACTTTGGCTCTAACCAGACAATTCAAACCTAGTGCAGACTTAGTGTCACCCCCACCTGGGGATCTGATTGCAATCCAAATTCTCAAATTAGCTGTGAATCTCCAACTAAATCTGATATGATTCAGTTCTCGGAAGAACCTATTACTCAGTATAAAAGGAAATACCCCAACTTACAAGTACTGTCTCATTAAGAGACTTAATTTAGACCAATTCAGCAATCACCATCCCAAGACTAGAAATTCCTTCTCCAACACTCAACAATCCAACCACTTCCCATACTTGTAAAAACAATAATCAACATAGAGAATTGCAATAACCAAATCAAAATACTACAATGGAATATCTCTAGTATTAAGACCCATCTTTCTCTTCTCAAAGATAGCTATCCTGCAAGAAATGCTTTACAAAGAGCCAGAACATCAAATTTCCTGGTTATCAAATATACTGCAAGCCTTGTAATCAAGGTGTCAACAGAGGACTTGTATCCATTGTAATAATAATATAATATATATATTTTTTTAAATAAAAAAACAGCATACCAAGCTGCAAGACCCAACATCCAGCTTCTATAGGAACTAATGCAGAAACACTTCCTGTTACACTCCAAGTCCAAAGGGAGTCAATGGACATGTATAACATCTACAGACCTCCTAGACCCAAATTCCATCATTGATCTTGGAGAAATTATAGAGACTGCTCAGAGCAGCTTATTATATTTCGGAGGGGACTTCAACACTTATCATCCAGACATAAATGATCCTAACAGTTTGCAACATCATACATGCTATGTCATCTCCAAATCTCTTGTTGGGAAATAGTAATCAAGCAACTCATATTAAAGGAGGGGTCTTTGATCTCATACATGTTAATTCTTACCCAAGTTTAAAAAATAGTCACTGAATTTCACCCTCGTCTAAGCAGCAATCATTTTGCTCTAATCTCCATTCTAAGAAGATTAACATCAAATTGATTATACTTCCTGCAAGACCAAGGTGGAAGACCAATCATGCAAATTGGACCCCTTATGAAAAACACTTGACCATCTGGGCTAGACTTTACTCACCTCAAATGTCAGATGTTGACACACTAAAAAAAGATTTTGTTACTTCTATTACTGAGGCAGGTAATCTTGCAATTCCTTTGTCTAAACCTCATACTCTTGAATACAAAGATCACTGGTATCATAATGAGAGAGTAGCAGAACTTCACCACAGAATCAAAATAACTATGAAGAATCTTAAAAAATTACCCTTTGACAGCACCTTCCTTTTATTTAGAGATACATTAAGAGTAGTAAAAAAAAGAACTAGAGAAAGTTAGAAATGAAAACTGGCTCACCTGGTGTGTCTCTTTAGTCTCACACACTAGTCTAAAAGAAATTTGGTCTCAGTTAAAACAAGGCTACAGGCTCGTACCATCATCCGAGACAACCAACTCATTCTGACCTGAAGAGGAGTCAAATCGATCTTCTTCAAAAAATATATCACCTGACACTGTTGACGCTCTCAGTACCTGTCTACCTTTAAACTAGTGAATGTAAAAAGAGCTTTAGAACCTGACATTACTGATCATCTAATAACTCTATTGGAATTACAGCAAGCTACAACCAATCATAAAGCAACAGCACCAGGATTAACTACAACATAATCAAACACTTAGGAGAAGAATGCAAGTTAAAACTGCTACATGCCATTGAATACTTCGTATCATAAATGCAAACTACCTACTCCATTAAAAGAAGCAATTACTCAGCCTATTCCCAAACCTTCCGATCCCAACTCTTCTAGACCTATATTTCTCACAAGTTGTCTTGGTAAAGCAATGAAAACAATCATTTTCAACCATTTCCTTCTTAAAATTCTGGATTTTCACCATAATCTTTTTGCTTTAATTAAAAAAACTTGATACATCATACATCACCACCTCACTTAGGTCCAGTCTTGATTATCACAAGTTAATGCTTGTCCTGTTGGATCTGGAAAAAGTTTTTGAGTTAGCTGACCCAATAGTAATCACAGCCTCAGGCACGCCTCACGGTGGAATTCTCAGTCCTTTTCTTATTAACCTTCTGATTGAACAGCTAATCTATATAGCTATGCTGATGACACAACTAGTTTCAAATCATCCATGTACAACATGCTCTTGATTTTATTTCAAATCATTGCACCATTTTTGGTCTATAAATAAATCCAGACAAATCATCAGCTACTAAACTACTAAATACAAGTCATATGACCACCTAACTATCCAAGATATTGAGCTTCCTTGGGTTGACAATGCCAAGTGTTTAAGTCACATCTTCACTTCAGGACCATACTCTGTTTCCCAACTTACATATATTTAAGCTAGAACTAAATCAAGAATTCATGCTCTAAGAAGATTAACATCAACAAAGATTGGAGCAGGTTTCAGAATTCTTAGAACTGTACAATGTACAACCCATCCGCTCTCTAGTTGACTTTGCCGTTCTCTCACTTCTTGAATTATCAAAGAAATTGCCCAATTAGAAATGATACAAAATGAAGCCATGAGGATTATCCTGAGTGCACCCACTTGGACAGAGCTAGTTAACCTTAGAAGAAACTAATCTTTG